AGTGGTGTGGAGAGGGCGAATAAAGAAAAGTTATTTATTAGTTCCCAGAATAGAAGAACTAGAGGACACCAAATGAAGTTAATGGGTAGCAGGTTTAAAACTAATAAAATAAAGTTGTTCTTCACACAGTGTGTAGTCAACCTGTGGAACTCCTTGCCACAGGAGGCTGTGCAGGCTAGGACTATAATAGAGTTTAAAGAGAAGCTAGATAATTTCATGGAGGTTAGGTCCATAAAAGGCTATTAGCCAGGGGATAAAATGGTGTCCTTGGCCTCTGTTTGTCAGAGGCTGGAGAGGGATGGCAGGAGACAAATCACTTGATCATTGTCTTCGGTCCACCCCCTCTGGGGCACCTGGTGCTGGCCACTGTTGGCAGACAGGCTACTGGGCTAGATGGACCTTTGGTCTGACCCAGTACGGCTGTTCTTATGTTCTTATGTTCAGTCTTTTGTAGTGGGACAGCTACCTGGGCTGTCTCCACATGAATACTGTCCAGGAATTGCTCATGGATTCAGATGCTCCTCATCCTAATCACCTCCTCCTGCAGCTCTCCCACCTGCTGCCTGAGAGATTCTACCAGCAGGCACTTTTCACACTGGATGGCCCCCCCCAGCTTGGATTTCAGTAAATGGGAATTGCAAGCCACAGTTCCTGCAAAACCACACCAGGATCTGGAGAGCGGCCTCCATGCTCAGGCGTGCTGTCTGGCTATAGGCACAAGTGGAGGAGACAGAAGCAGTGCTGGGACAGGTGTTGTGGGTGTTCCTGAGCCTCCCTCTGTAAAACTCCCTCTTAAACTCTCCTGTCTGCAGGCTGCTGTGCTCTGCCTCTGGCTTTTAAAGCCTGCTCACATAGGTCAGGCCTACCCCCTCGTTAGTCACACGGGAAGGCTGCTCAAAGGCAATCAAAGGAAATAAGGATCAAACACTCCCAGACACACAATCCCAACTGCTACAGTAACTGAAACTAAAATCACTTGAAATCAGAATCAAATTTTTGCTCTCCCCATTAAGCCTTGTAAAGGTGCCTAGCTATTTTATACATGCTTATAATAACCTTCGCGTGCCTTATGTCTTACTGTAGCCCCTCTACTTTGTTACAACAGGCAAAGGTACACAGACCTGGAAAAGCACAAGAGCAATATATAATGGTGACTGGAAGTTTGGAAAACGGGATGGGTATGGAACGTACAGCATTCCTGACCCCATAACTAAAGAATACAAGAAAGTATATTCAGGCTGGTGGAAGAATGACAAAAAATGTGTAAGCAATCTTTATTTCAAATCTTTTTCTTGAAATTACCTCTCAAGATTTTAGTGAGTGGCACGTCCCATGTTGTTAAATTAGTCCAAAATCACAGGAGAGATTTGGGAACAATCAAAAAAGCTTAAAATGTTGATTTTAAAATAACATTTATAATCTGAGGCTAAACTGAAGGTCTGAAGAGCCTTTCAGGAAAGGAATGTATGTGAGTCAGAGAAAGCATAATGCGGCTGTTTTTATATAGGGATTTCTTAGCTTGCGAAGGTGGATGGTTGAAAATATAATCTTCCCTCTCTTCTTAGTTCCCAATGCTCTTGTAATTCTGTGTGTGCTTTTGGTTTCCAAAACAAAATGCTTCAGTGCTTTGTTTATTTTTCATCTTAGATATAGAAAATTTAGTCTCAACACTAGCAGGGGACATACAATATTCTGTTTATTGGGTGAATGGAAGAGATTAAGCTCTCCTCTTGGTTTGAGTTTTCTTTAAATTTAATTTTGTGCTGTTGAAAAATTGACAGCCCTGGAGACTAAAATCCTTTATCCATAGAAAAGGCTCACAATGGGGCAGTAGAAGTGACATGCTTGCCTACGGTGGCTTTTCAAAAAGTCTTTGCATTATAGACCATGCACTTTCCAAGATAATTGAATCCTTGGCTTCTGTTGAACTCGCCAGCAAAAGAGAGTAGTTGTAGTGATGCTCTTTTTAATGTGAGCACCTGTTCACTGACAGCTGGAGTGAGATCATAACCAAATAGCTGTCCTATCGTGACTTCACAGCTGGGACACATTGGGTATGTCTAGATTGCAAGGTCCAGGGAACTCATTTATTCTTCCACGTTTTTTGCGGAAGAGCAAATGTGCTCTTTTGGAAGCCCTGTCTTCCTTGATCTATGGGGAAGAAGGGATCTTCTGAAAGAGGGGACTTTTTCGAAAAAAAATCGGAAAAAGGTGCAGTGTAGACCTGGCCATTCAGAATTAGAGGCAGAGAGGGAAAAAGTTGTGTATGCCTCAACACATCCACCTCATTTCTACCATATTTGAATTGGGCAGAGGAAACTTTTAAAAAGAGTATTGAAAGCATTGCAAGAAGGGGCAGCTTCTTAAAATAGTTATTTTAGGAATTGATAGTGTATATTAGAATGATAAACCAAGAGAGAGTACTCAAAAAGGGCAGTGTTTCAAAGAAGGTCGTTCTTCATGACAGGAAAAGCACCTTTATAGTAGTAATTGGAGCCTTCTAACATGCAGAATGATAAATATTTCCTGGTCTACTAGGGAAAACCTCCTGTTATTCCTTGTGTCCGATCTTAAAATAAATCAGCTGCCTTGTATATCTAATTGGCATGCATATCCATAACCCTAGACTCTTGAGGGAGGTCTCATTTCTCATTCTTTAAAAATATATTATGAGTGATTGACCTTCAGTGAGTGGTCTGTAATGACATCCTGATGGAGCTATTCCTTTTCTTATCTAAAAGCTTCCCATTTGCATTCTTGAAGCTCAATAAAATTAATATTCAGAAAAATCAATTATTTCCAGAACTGATTTTATTTGTCTACTGAGATGAGATACAACTTAATTCCTCTGGGAAAAACTCATTAATATCAAGACAACATTTTCATCTGATAGGGATCCCTAGAGAAGGGCATGGCTTTTGAGGTTGCCTTTTGGCTTGTCATAACAAGGGAACATAATGTGTTTCTTGTGTAAAATAAAATGTGTGAGCTTCATCAAGGTGATCTTAATCAAGCAACAATTAAGATTGAGCAGGTTATGGAGACTGCAGCACCACTAAAAGTGGACTCTGAATGACAGAAAAGCTTTAATTGGAAGTTTGGAAAACAGGATGGATATGGAACAGGATAGTCTATTGTATGGATAAACAGAAGACTTCACTCACTATGGCTGTCAACCCAGCAACTTTGGACATGTTTAAATCTTTAAAAAAGAAAGAAAGGACACACAAAAGCTGTCATATAGTGAGGAAAGAACCGGAGAACAGTGAATATCCTGTGCTCTGAGATAAAATCAAACACATTTTCAGTTTCTGTGCTGCAGTTTTTTCTGTCTTTCTCCACAAATCGTTGTGTTGCAGTTACTGCAGATGTTTTCTGATGTGGCAGCTTACAAGATAATGTGATGTTAATTATCACAAGATAATGTGATACAACCGAACAGTCATCTCAAACCTACTTCCGGTTCTTCAGTCTTTTCTGATTTTCCCTAGTGATGCTGTATAGTGTGTAACTGAATAGTCATGTAACCACATTAAATGTTTGCGGTTACACGACTATTCGATAGTCCCCAGAGGTGTACTGCTGCCTATCAGCTTCCCACGCGGATCAGCTCCCACCTACTGCCCCTGATACAGCAGCACGGGGTGGCACAGCCCCTATCCATGGCGGGGGGGGGGGCCCGGGGCCCCCCCCAA